CATGTAAACTACATGCGACCCTACGCAAGGTTATCTTGGAAATGGGTTCAGATGGTGAGAAACACGGTCCCAATTCTAATTAAGGAAATGGTGGTACTGGTATTGCTCCTACTTTTTACTTTGATCTTGTTGAGCTGATGCGAGGTTGGTATAGGTTTCGTTGCCTTTGTTGTTAGTATTGCTGGCCAATGGCTGAGGTTTCGGCGATTTCGTCTTCCTCGGAGCCTTGACGTATTTTACGTAACAGTCGCGCAATATTCGGTGGAGTATCGTGTTGTTATAAATAGATATATCTGTGTACATGTTCCTACGAACTTCCATTGTTTAGCTGACGTAAGGTTGATACAAATGTTTCTATTGTTATTTTTGTTGTTGTTGTTCGATAGCTGACGTTTCGGCGATTTCGCTTTCCTGAGAATTCAGTCATGTATACGATAGTTACCACATTACTACAAATTAATGACCATGAACTAAATCGTTATTTACTCGCTTAATGGAATTGAAAATGTTCTTTCCAGACTCACACAATCAATTCCATTCTTCAAGAGCAGGCTTTTTCTGCTTTGTGTGAATACGTTCTTCATAACAAGAACAGCTTTGTTAACTTTGCATTCACTTCCTTCTACAATTTTTCACCGCAGGGTACTATGTAAAATACAATACAATGATGCTGAGATATGTGCAAAACTACGAACCGCAGATGTCTGCGGTGAGGATCGAACGCGCTCTTACGCTATCCGGGGGCTAATGCGTTCACCACCGCACCATGCGGATCACTGGTTTCGCCTTTCTCTCAGTTAGTTTTTCCTCCTAACGACGCCATCAGTAATCACCCATAAAGAACAGCTTTATTTTTAGCTTTATTCGAGCTCTCATAACAACAAACACCGTTGACGAAAAAACATAAAGGCCATGTTACCCAAACCGGCGAAGATGCGGAATTAGAGAAACCCACAGAAGGCATGTACTCATGGTCTCCACTGTTTCTTCATTGGTAGTGTGCTTAATATTTCAAGGTAACAAGCAAAGAAATTTAATACTAATTTAGGAATTTCATGTTCCAACTGGCAACTAAAATTTTTGCTTTAACGTTACTAGTCAATCTCTGCAATAAAATAGCATAATGACAGAACAAATCGCCTTCAAAGTTTAAATATGTTAGCGGGTCCATCATAAATCGTTGCTAAAATTAGGGTATTTTGTTGGATGGAATAACCGTGTCTACAGCTAAAAGCTAAACATCTAAACAATATTGCAGTAGTGATTCCCTTACACATCATTTAGTGGGATTTTAGCTTCGTCAAGGATATGGACTTCATTGTTGCTGTCAGGAATATGAGCGCCAATGAAAAGTTGATAACTCCAGGCGGCTAGCACTGCACCCAGAATTGGGGCAATGACAGGAATCCAGAAGTAATAGTTATGGTATCTAAATGCTAGTGTTTAGTAAAAATGATTTGCTGAACTCAATCAAATGAACATCACGAAGAACTTACGTGAACACCTCAGACCCGTAGATGAAAAGCGCGAAAAGTCTTGGTCCGAGATCACGAGCAGGGTTGATAGGATATCCGAGGTTCATGCCCATACAAGTACCTGGATTTCGAGCGCTATCAGAGATTTTTCTGAGTTGATTAATACTTTCATGCAATTACAGTTTGAACAGAACTGTGACCAAGTACTGTCTCTACTCTATAACAGATCTATGAATTCTTGTACGTATAGAAGGAACACTAATATATCACATTCCTGCTTATCATTTTTCTACGAGTATACGCATTGTACGCTATTGCACGTTTAGAACTGCACATCTTGATTTGAATACGCACGTTTGCTCGACCTATTTCACCTGAAAGGAGTTTTTCTTGCGAGACTTCTTGCAGTCAGTCGATAGCTCGTCGAACACAGATTTTACGCTGTGGACAAGCCATGGTTAGGTGCTCTCAGCGCATTTTTATTTCTTATTTTTTATTTTATTTTGTTTTATTTGACCCATCTTCAGCTCCACTGTGCGGCTCCCAGCACTTCTCACATTCGATTCGTTCCCTCGCATCCATTGTGGACAATGATCTTTCAACTTTTACGTGTGGCTTCGGTTCCTGATTGACGATTTCCATTTCATCTTGAATGTCGCAGAATGCTGGTCGAGCAATTCTCCTTGGAGTCTTAGGATAGCCAGGCTAGAGCGTTTCCAATTGGATTGCAGAAAGTAACTTTTTTCCGGATAAGGCCGGTATCATTTTCCCAATCCCAGAAGGACGAGAGGCTTGGTTATCCCAGAGAGGAATCTAACTAGCACAGCGCTTGTGATGACGGACGTCACCACCACTGTGCTATCTCCTCCTCAACGCATTTCACTTTGAAAAAGCTGTTTTCGAACGGTGAAAGAGAATATCGGCAGATTTAGACAACATAAAAAAGGCAAAGAAATACATTTCGAATTTGGTGCAAAACGTGAAAAAAACTGACAACACCATGATTAGATAATGGGCGAATTTTTTTCAGCACACACAAGAGGTGTGAACATCGTACTAATCTAGGTTGCAAATGATTTAAGAACTCACCGATCATAATTAGAACGAAACCGAAGAGAAACGGATGAGCTGCACCAGGAATGCCATTTCTCTTGTCGATAATCACGCATACAAAGAACACCAAAAGCCCGGTACCGGCGACCTACAATTATCAAATATTTAGTTTCGATCGAATTCATTTAAAGCCGATTTTCTTAAAATGTGTACTTTCTAATATAATTTAAGATAGGTATATTAATAAGTATAATATCAATACAATGCAACAGTTCACCACAATCACCGTAGCAAAGTAGCAAAGGAGTGTTCTCTAGTGTAAAAGAGAGTTGTGAACCATTGGGCACATCCGTTCGTATGAGCAACTCAGGTCCAAAAATTCAGCTTTTTAAAGGTACGCCCTAGTACAAGCAAGTATATGGCTGGAATAGCTATTGCTGTGGAAAAAGCTGCGAGGTTGCAAATCGTCCTTTAATCTATAACCGTCGACAACTGGTTGTGATAAATATCTAAAGGCTTTCCTAGCCATGACTTCCACGCAATTTTTTGGAAAAAAAGTCCTGTCCATGCAGAAGAATATAAGTCAAAGGGGAAGGTTCCTGAGACTATCGTCTTTTAGAAAATACAGGCTTGGTCATTCAATTAACAAGTATAAATTATGGAAGACAATAGCAACTTTCTATTTCACGAGTGACATTGCAGCACAGCACGACGAGAGACGAACTCCCTGGTTCGACTCAGCTTCCTTATCGGGCACAGATTCCTACGATGTACATCCCTAACAGTCTAGTAAAGTCCCTCTAATAATGCCTAACTGCAGCATCATACACTTACTAGCAAATAAAGCTAGTAAACAGGTGCCCGTCCAGTTCTATTTGTTATAGAGCTTTTTCTATATCGCAAACACTAAATACGTCGCTGTATTTCCCAAAGTCCCTAGAACCTTTCGAAATAAAGTAGAATGCGACACCCACGACCGAATTTCTTTTACCGTCGGCACTGTCCAATAAGTCTATGTTTTATTCTAATTGGAAGAATAAGTTGACGACTTATAGAGAAAAAACAATAGGGTGTTTAAAAGATGAGATTTATTAGGCGAAGGATATTTATGTATCGACTTTCCTCTACAAAGGTTATGAAAGAGTTAAGGTGACGATCTGTACCTACAATACACATACACTTGCATCGCAGTTATCAGTAGAAGACTTGCTCATGCAAGCAAGAAGGACAAAGTACGATATCATCGGCCTGGCCGAGACGTGACGCCACCAATTCAACGCCGTCTATGACACCGGAGAACTGCTCCACGGAAGATGCGACAATAGAGGAGTTGGCGGCGTTGGCACTCTCGTCAACGAGAGTTTGTCCATAAACATTGATCCATTCGAACAGCTAACAACCCGAATCGGACGTTTACGACTAAAAAGATGTGGATAAATTCTGGTTTTAACTATCTTCGTCGCTTACGCGCCGACATCAAACTATGACAAAGAAGAAGTTATGCATTCTATGTGGACTTGGGCAAGTGTTACAGAGAACACCATACATTCGTAAAGTTCATCGATTTTAACGCCAAGATTGGATCAAGAAGAACGTCTGAAGAACATCACATTGGGAGCTATGGATTAGAATGGAACAGACAGGGTGGCGGCTGCCTGAGTTTATCATGACGACCAAGACCTTCCATGGTAACTTGCAATTCCAGAAACCCCACCTTCAGCGCTGGACGTGGGAGTCTCTCAATGGAGAGTACTATAACGAAATAGACCACCTCATAGTAAATAGAAGGTTTTGCCTAACCGATGTCGCTGTTGTCTCAAAATTATACATGGGATTAGACCATCGTCTCCTTCGTGGAAGATTCTATTTGTCGACGAAAGAAGAAAAAGTCGGTAAATTCCAAAACTGAACTCCCAGAAACACCACAAACTGGGACTTATTCAATTCATTAGTCGGCTGTTGGGAAGATGCCGTTGTCGATAGCATCAAGGAAGAATACGATCGGCTCATTCAACATCTTTACGTTAGCGCTATGAAAGCTGAGAGTTCGAAAGTCACCAAGAGACGTCTGTCTCCGGAAACACTCGAGCTAATACGCCAGCGTGGAATCGAACGTGCTGCAAGCAACCGCGAACTAGCGTCCGAACCTGCAAAACAGTGCAGAGAGGCGATAAAAAAAGATCTTAGAGGGAGAAGAACTGCAGTAATGGTCGAAGCTACATACAGAGGCTGGGAAAAGCATTCGCAAAGCCCACCGAAGCTTCGCCAATGACAAGACCAAAATGATTGCATTCCGGCGCCCAGACGGAGCAGTTGCAGCATCCAGAAAGGCAATGGAGAAAATCATTCACAAATACTACTTGGATCTAGTTCCCATGATCGACTTTCTATTAACCTCGGGAATGGAATATGAATGCGTCGTTTTTTGTTCAGCAATCGCGAGGTTTTTAAACAGCATACATTTACTTCCATAAAAACACAATACAATACAACGCTAGCTGACGTTTCGGCAGTATCGCCTTCTTCAGAGCCTGGAAGGGTATACTGATATACAATCTACTAGGCCAAACGCTTCAATAACACAAAAAGACGAAAAACTCTATGGTAATTACATGATTAACAGCTTCTTGAAAAATCCACCGCTTTTTCGTGACTTCCAATGAGGAAGTTTAGAAAAGCTGATTATAGTCGCATATTGTTGATGACTGCACCATCCCACACCACAAATTGATGCGAACATACGGGGTTAGGTCGCGTATGACCACTGGGCATTCCTCCCTGCTATTCATTGTAGGGTTTTTGGCATTTATCCAAAAAGCCTCAAGGAGTTTTCGCGCTGGTGTTTTGGACTCCTGTGCAAGGATATTGATTTTACTTCAAAATCGTCTCCGCTATGCTTTTGTATACTATGCGCGCCTAATGGGGTGCTTCGTCTTAGTTTCCGTTTGCCATCTAGGTGTTCTTTTATGCGGATACACGAAGGTCTGCTCGTTTCGCCAATATAGTCATCTCCACAATTATTTCAAGAGATCAGGTATATCGTAACTGAACTCATGCAATCACCGTCCCTGCTGTAAGGGCAAATTATGCAATTTGTTGTTTCACATAGACGGTCATACAAGCGGTTACGAACTGACGACGTAGAGCATCCGGTGGTATTTCAATTAACGTTACCGACTAGTCTAAACTTGCCATTTTTAGGCATCGTATTATAGCTATGCTTACTTCATCGCTAATAAAGGGCACCATAAACAGGACTTTCTTTTGGCCAAGTGTTTCGTTTCGGCGCTTCGCTCTCCTTCTAAACTTATCTCGTGGGGTTACTATTTCGTAGCCACTGGAGATGGCTATCTGCCGAGCCAAGTGGCGCGATTCTTCCTTTAGTTCCCTGGTAGTGCACACAGAGGTGGCTATTCGAAACATCTTTCTCACAACCGCCCTCTTTGTGTATGAAGCGTGGGAAGAAAGGAAATGAACGAGGATGTTCTTGTTACTCGGCTCTCGGTACCACTTTGTAAAGTAACCGCTACTTGATAGGTTTATTTGAACGTTCAAAAACGGAAAAGCCAGTTTTTTTCTCGGTTTCTCCCGGGTGAACTTTATGTACTCGGACTGCTCGTTCAATAATTCAAAGCATTTGTCCATCTCCTCCTGCGTAGCGAAGATGAAAAAACAATCATCTACATATTTGCAGTAGAGTAGTGGCCGGAAATCAAGAACAGGGGCTTCTATCTTAGACATAAACACAACGGCAAGGCTTGGTGCCAGCTCCTGTCCCATTGCCAACCCCCTTATTTGGCGAAATATTTCCCAGACCATCTGAAAATCGAGCAGTTTAGGCACACCTTTAATAGAGCCATTAACAGCAGGATGGACAAGCCATGCATATTTATTCGTCCTTCATGTTCAACAAGAAGTTCGAAAATGGCTTGCATTGCGGAGCCATTCAGCACGTTGGTTTACAGCGCGGTAGCGTCGAAAGACTCCATCACGTACGCGTTATTATGAGACGCATTACGTAGACGTTCTAGGAACATTTGGGTGTTTGTGAGGTGAGCTGGAATGTGGTTAAGCAACTGCGTGAGTATCAGGCTTAAAAACCAGGTTATTCTATCCGTTGGCCCGTCTACACAGCTGATGATCGGTCTAACCTTAAATGATGACGGATTGGTTGACGCATGATCATCAGGTGATACCAACTTATGTGTTTTAATAAGTAGGTATAGGACGGGACATGTTGGTCTATCGATTTTAAAGTGCGAAATAACCGATGATTTTAAACACGCAGCCATTGCCACACTGACCCATTGATTGTTTAGCTTTCGGTATTGACTTTTATATTCCTTTTCCGAGGATGGGCGATAGAGGGTAGCATCACTAAGATGTTCCTCTGTTATCTCAACATCCAGATGGTGAGGAATAACTACGAACTCTTTCCTCTTTTCACTGACAGGGAATCTTATTGTTTCCGAGTTTGCTAATTCTCTAATTTCTCGCATGCCACATTTTTTTGCGGCTGTAAGGTGGAATGCGGAATTTTATGTCGACTCCATCATTAGGGTTTTGGTGTCTAAAAAACGTTTTTGGGAAAAGAGATGGTGGTAGTGTCGCTGCCTCCCGTTTATGTTGCCTTTTATAAGCGATGAAGTAAGCGTAGCTATAGAACGATGCTTAAGAAGGGCAGGTCTAGAGGAATTGGTAGCGATAATTGAAATACCATCGGCTACTTTACGTCGTCAATTAGTTCGCAACCGCCTGTATGACCGTCTGTGTGAAACAACAAATTGCGTAATTTGCCCTTACGGCAGGGACGGTGATTGCATGAGTTCAGGTACGATATACCTGATCTCGTGTAACAATTGCGGAGATGAATATTTTGGCGAAACGGGCAGACCTTTGTGTACCCGTATAAAAGAACACCTAGATGGCAAACGAAAACTAAGACAAAGTACTCCAGGTGAAGTTTAGAACAGCTGATTATAGTCGTATATGGTTGATGACTGCACCATCCGACATCAAAAATTGATGCCAACATACGGGGACAGGTCGCGTATGACCCACTAGGCACGCATAGGATACAAAAGCATAGCGGAGACGATTTTGAAGTAAAAGTGAATATCTTTGCACAGGAGACTAAAACACTAGCGCGAAAACTTCTTGGGGCTTTTTAGATAAATGCCAAAACCCTATAATGAATATCAGGGAAGAATGCCCGGAGGTCATACGCGACCTGATCCCGTCCGTTTGTTCGCATCAATTTCTGATGTGGGATGGTGCAGTCATCAACCATATACGACTATAATCAACTGTTCTAAACTTCCTTATTGGTAGGCACGAAAAAAAAGCGGTGGGTTTTTCGAGAAGCTGTTGATCACGTAATTACCAAAGAGTTTTTCGTCTTTTTGTAAGTGTTATTGAAGCTTAACCCTTTTATTCACTGCCTTTTTCTTCTCAATGGCAGGGTATGTTGCGAAATATAACTCGTATGAAATGCTGAGATATTTGCAAAACTCCGGACCGCAGGTGTATGCAGTGGGGAACGAACACGCGCTGTTGTCCTTACCGGGTAGCAGCGCACTTGCCGCCACCCTCCAGAATGTCATGCGAACATTGGAATGGGATAATATAGCAGTGCAAATTGACGGTCGTCAGTTACACTATATTCGCCTTCCTGATGACATCGTCCTTATTACACCAGACATTATCCAAGCGGAACGTATGCTTGACGACTTTGATAAAGCCTGTGGAAAGATTGGTTTTCGACTAAATCTCACAAAAACGATGTTCATGAAGAACGGATTGGTTTTCTATGCCTCATTCACGTTCAACGGAACGAATATTTCCGAACGCTCCAGTTTTGTCTATCAAGGTCGGAAAATCAACATGATGAACGACCTAGCTCCAGAGCTGAGCGAAAGGAAACGAGCGGCTTAGGCAGCTTTCAAGAGCATCGAGGGTGTAGTGAAGAGAACAACGAACACCCGACTCCGTGCTCACCTTTTCGACTCAACGGTACTTCCTGCCCCAACGTATGCGTGAGAGACCTGGTCGCTGCGTAGGCAGGATGAAAGGTCACTCAGCGTTATCGAACGCTCAGTCGAAAGGACGATGTTAGGAGCATCACGTTCCACACAAGTAAGGGATGGGATCCGAAGCTCCGACTTGCGTTACCGATCAGAAGTCAAAGATGCTGTTTTGTACGCCAAGCAGTGGAAGATAAGGTGGGCCGGACACGTAATGGGTATGAATGGTAACCGATGGACAAGAGCCGTTAGTGACTGAATTCCTCGTGATGTTAAACGCACTGCAGGAAGACCACCGACCTGATGGTCAGAGTTTTTCACAAAGAGCCTTGAAGAAAGATAGACGACGTCCTCGAGGGAACTCGACGAATCCCTAGAGCGAACAGAACCAACTGCGCTACTCTTGCACGCCAAAGGGGAAAAAGGAAGATTTACTGGCGCCCGCTCGAGTCACTCGACCATCAACGGGACTACAGGTGATACAGGTAATAGGTGTTATTAGGAATGGGGTGAGCAGTATTCTGAAGTGCAGTGAATTTTACTCTTGGTCAATGACTTACACTCAGCCGCGGACCTAAAAAGACCTCCATCACACTTTAGTTTGAGAACTGGGACAACATCTGTCTGGAAAGAGCTGCATCCGATGCACAAAAGCCAGCGAATGCCTGCGTACGAGCACATCTGTGGAAAAACAGCTCTTCCAGAATGTGAAAGAGATTCAGTTTGACCAGCTATATAGCGCTTTATTCAGAGATTGATCAACGTCGAAAGGTTTGTTGTCTTTCTAAGTTTTATGTTGTTGGCACTAATATGTGCATTCAGATGCACTTGTTCAATCAAGAGAGACAAATTTGAACTGAAATTTGAAGTTGAAGGTGAAAAACCTGTACTACGTTTTGGGCAGGCTAAAACTAGATCTGATCGAAAGTTTAGTTAAACGAACCTGATCAAAGAAGCAGGTGAGATTACTGAGGTGGGAGGCCGGGAAAGAGCAAAAGCAGGCGGCTGTTGCGTGCGGTCCTACGATTGTGCGAACATCGCCAGCATACTTCACAAACTGATCTGAACTTTCATTTTGTCAAAAAAGCAAATATGCGTTAGGTTTTCAGGAATTGCTCTTTCCTACAGAGTTTATAGTGTTGTCGTTTAGCAATTCATTTCTAACTGAAAAATAGCGTACTTTTTTAATGAGTTATTAAGACTCCACTACAGGTTGGTATGGTGAAAATGCGAGATCTCTCTTGCTTACCATAATATATTCCGAACGCACCAATGGCACCTATGAATGCGCCGATTGTTTGAACCACACAGTAGATGACAAGATCCTTAGCAGAAAGCCTTCCAAGTGTAAACATGGCAAAAGAGACCGCAGGATTGAAATGACCCCCTGAAAAAGTGAACCGTCAGTCCGTGAGCACATTCGTACATAAGAAAAACATTGAAGAGGTACCCATGGGATACCTGAAGTTTTGCTGCAGGAGTAAACACAGAATGTGATTGCCAAACCCCATCCAATGTTAATTTGTATCCATGTGTTGAGCTTCTCACCAGATAGGATGAACTGCATTACGATGGCTAGGCCAATGAACTGCAAAATAAAAAATTTTTATGGATCGACAATTAAGGCCGTTAACATTCGTAAGTGTTCTAGGAACCAACGACCCCTAAAACCAATTCTGAAAGGTTTAAAGCGTATACTAAGCAAGAGGTCAGATATTTGCTAACGATATTTCCTATATCAAGTCGTACTTGCGTTTCTCTTTATTCGTTTGTTATAAATCAAATTTCTTAATAACTTAGCACTACAGTGTGACAATGGGATGTTCGTCGGTGTGAAACCTTGGTGTATTTCCAGGATTTCAGAGGGACCGACGTAATGACCTTAGTGCTCAGCTGGTTCACTAGTACTAGGAATTGAAACGTTTATAAAAAAAATCTGATCGCATTGTGGCAAACTTTCTCCGAATCCACAAGAGAGAAATGTCCTAAGCTGACGATCAAATAAATTTTTGTAGCGGCTGACTTATGATCCAGAACAAAAAACTTTGCTCAAGCAGGAAACAAAGGTCTAATATAGTCGCGTATTTGTCGCTGAAATCAATGACATCTGGTAGTGAGTCGAAGGATGAAAGCTGTTCAAATCACGTACCAAGAGGGACGCCATTGTTACCGTATTACAATAACGTATTACAACAAGGCATAAGTCCTCCTGTAAATTCGGAAGATTTAACACTAGAACGATTGTAATAGACTCCCAGACTCCCTAGACACCACTCCCCAAGTAGAACAGTAAGGAGAAAAAGCTATTCGCTAAATGTAGAAAAAATAGCTCGTTTTAAAAAGAAACTGTCGCGACATTCCTAAATATAATGACCCAGTAATAGCGATCCACAGAAAAGAAACCATCATTGTGTCCTCGCAGCAGTGAAATTCTAATAATGGAAATATCCTCTCCATAACTTTAGTTCTCTAGCACAAAATCTGCAATGAATAAAAATCAACTTAGATTCTTAACCTGAGCTATGAATCACAATTAATGCCAGTAAAATGGTACAGCGAAAGTGATACACAATGTCAGATTCACCTCAAACTGGAAACCATGCATCGGACAGACGTCTGGTAACCCATGTGAAATATCCCTTTGAAGAAAGTGTATTCTAGACCATTGGTGAACATCGTGCTCAATTGTCCAGCCAGAAGAGAATAAAGAATCTTTATGGCAGTAGCTGATTTGTCTTCTTAACATGAGGTTTGAATCGCAATCAGTGCCAGGAAAATGGTACAACGAAAGCGATTCTTAATCCTTTTCTAAATAATACAATATTGTTAATATCGAGGATTCCAGAAGGAGCCTACGTGGTAGTGGTAAACAATCTTTCAACAGAAATATTTATATGATCTCATAAACTGATCTTCTTAAGCTGGTGCGAGTTTCGTATAGGGCTTCGTTGTCGTTATCGTTCTTGCTTTCGTTGCTGTTGGTGTTGTTGGTCGATGGCTGACGGTTCGGCGATTTCGCTTTCCTCAGTAGGACTCACTCGTAACGGCACGGCTCTGAAGAAGGGAAAATCGCCGAAACGTCAGCCATCGACCAACAACACCAACAGCAACGCCAACAACAACAACAACGAAGACCTATACCAACCTCGCATCACACCAGCTTGAAAAGATCAGTTTAGTTTATTTATAATATCATATGAATAAATATATCAACTATTTATGCGGGGGTTTATAAAAAGTTGGTCTTTTGAATCACTAAGAGATATTTATATATTGAATACACATGAACCATAGCAAAACTTATAGAAATCTGTCAGGAGTACCAGTAGAAAAACGGTATTAGGGCATCGAAAGGAACACAATTCTCTCCAATTTCACCAATAAAGCAGTAGATCCCTCTCGCGTCAGAAACTCAGGTAATTTTTATCACAAATGCACCACAATGATATATTTTTCTCCCTCATCCTATTACGATTTCCCATATGATAAGAGCTCGATAGAAGGACGCCATTTCACTAAGCCTGCTTAACTTCTTATTTCAGTGAATAATGAAGCGACTTCCTTAAAAAAGGTAAACGTGTTCATAGAAACTTTTGCGCTTCTTGGAAAAGTGTTAGACTAATTAGCAGTGTACTCATAGGGAATGATTAAGCAAGAATAATGATAGGAATGTGAAGTGGTGAACAGCGCGCGAGATGAGGTTAATTGGACGCTCATGGTGCGACGAAGGACGAATTAAGATATACAGTTTGTTCATTATAGAGAAAATTTTATCTGCAGGAATATTTAACTGGTAAGGTAGGTGATCTCTATGTAGTTGTGGAAGCCTCGGATAGGCGAAGAACAGGATTGGTAATTTTCAGGCTCGTTGAAGAAGCCAGTGGCCGTCAGATAAGTATACGATAATAAACAAAGGAAATAAGCAACCTGGATAACAAGAGAACACTAACAGGGTACTATTTTATTTCTTTATTTACGTACAAGCTGACGTTTCGGCGGATTTCGCCTTCCTCAGAGCCTCGAAAGGTCAAGTTAACAGCAATCCACTCGGCCAAACACTTCCATAACCAAACAGAGAAAACGCTAAACCAAGATTTCAATCACATTTAACACAGCTCTGCACACTCACCGCTTTCTATGAATCTTCCACTGAGTATGTCGCGTGAAAACCAACCGCGCAGAATTCACATGGAAGCGTAATGTGCCTCTCCCATCAGAATAACAGGTTTATATACTGTCCAATATCACGCGTGATAATGAGGCATTCTTCCCTGCGGTTCATTTTCGGATTTCTGGAATTAATCCAGAACGCCTCGAGAGTTTTGCGCGCTTGCGTTCTTGATTCCTGTGCGAGCATCGTAACACATACTTCAAAGTCTTCCCCGTTATGTCTCTGGGTCCTATGCGTGCCTGGTGGGGTATTTGGCTGACGTTTGCCGGCTAGGTGTTCCTTTATGCGGACACAGAGGGGTCGGCCCCTTTCGCCAATGTATTCATCTCCGCACGCCTTACAGGAGATCAGATAAACTATACCCGAGCTCATGCAATCACCCTCTTTACCATTCGAGCAAATTAAGCAATTTTGCGTTGCACATAGACGGTCATATAGCGGTTAACAGAAAGTCGGACATGGGAGTTACTAACAGGGTACTTAACTGAAAACGAATGAATCAGAAAATCGAAGTCGCCCACTTCAGCTTTCATAAAAAAGTCACCTTTTTATATTGCAATCGCAATGGAATGGAAATAGTATTTGGAGGTGTACACTTTGTAGACATAGCCTCCCATTTACCCCACTGGAAAAATAAATTTACATCTCAATTTCAAATTATTCCTAGAGATCACGATAAACTCGTTCATCTAAAGGCTTCTGTAGTTTTTTAACCGGTACTTTTCGCTACATTCTCTAGGAACACTACTTTATCAATATGTGAGGTAACCTACAAAAAAACTGAAAAATCAAGAATACAGAGAAACTGTTTTGAAATAACACGGCTGCGAGAAAGGTGAAACGCAGGACACGAATGGCGCGGTGGTGAACTGATAGCCTCTGAACGGGTAAAAACGAGGTTCCATCCTCACCGCGGACACCTGCGGTCCAGAGTTTTGCCTTGTTATATACACTGTCGATACATACTATTTAAGGATTTATTCTTTGCTTAACTATTTTCCACACAATGCTTCCTTCTACAACTTAGTTTACAACGATTTGAGGATGGTTGAAATCTCAAATGATGAAAAGTGCACTGCTTTGCTTCATAAGGCCTAATTTGTTCGTTCTCCAGCAATGAAACTATATGAAATACTATCGAAGCATGAGACCAAAGAAACATTCCTAAAACTGACGAACACCAGCTAAAAGAGGCGACCGAAGTGAAAACTTAAAGAACTAACCGAAAGCTTACAGAAGAAATCAGCATTAGCCATTTAGCAGATGTCTGTCAGTGAAAAGTAAGGGGAATAAGAATCGTCCCACGTGTGTAAAAATATGACAAACGATTGGCAAAAGCTTCCCTGAGTAAAGATGAGCGAGTGCCACAGAAAATTCGTCCATTGTCTGACGAGCTAATACTTAATATGAGTCTAGTGCATGAACGTTGCACCCCGTACCTTGACCAACTAGGATGAATACCGTGCAATTTTTAAAATATTTCATTCATTTCGTGACAACAGTTTCCCGTTGTTTCCGCTTCGCTAAGATTTCAGGAAAAATGAAAATGCGACCACGACCATCTCTGCATGTAAATTGGGCTTTAATAGGGATTTCGGAGCTTCACACACTTCCAATTATTGAGGGCAAGATGGAATAAGATTCACTTTCGATCCTGTTTTACAAAGCAGAAATGAATTGCTTTTGTTACGAAAAAAAGTGGAGACCAGACTTCACAGCGAACTCTTCTGTCACCACTCATTTCAAGATCATCATTCATCGTACTTTAATCACGTTTAGCGCGTCCTTTAAGAGAAACATCGAGACATTTTGAAACATTACGAATAGTTTTTATAGCGTTACTTTCGATTATCGCCTTCAGATAGACGTCGTCAAGTGCTGATGAACGTTAACGGCCTCCGTCGTCATCAAGACTCGCATCTTCAGTACTAAAACTTTTGAACCGACTATTCACTGTGCGTCCCTGAACCCGTGTTTGAGGGACATTTCGACATGTTTCAACGGAAGTATATCCAAATTTGAACCTTCATGCAATGTCAGACAAATTTTTTCTTTCGAGAGCATCATTTCAATCAGTTAATGACCACTGCAAACTCATTACTCAAAAAGAATTGGAGAGGAGATGGTTAAGCAAAGAATAAGCTTTCAAGTGGTGTACAACAGCATGTAAGTAAGAAATATCTATTAAAGCATTTCTACCCATAGAGCCAAAAACATGACATAGCTTTTACAGAAACCTAACAAACTCCTGAATAAAAACAAGAAAACACACCAGTAGTAGGGCAGTTCCAAATAACTCTGATAAAGCGTTACGTATCGTGGGGTCACGAATGTGGATCCTACGTCGTAGACGCTCTTCTGGCAAAATCTTCATTTCCGGCATTGAGCCACTGAGC